AGGGGTGGAAGGCTTGGTTGGCCCGGGCGACTCACGACCTAGGACTGCTCGCGTGGTAAGCGTGCCACTTGCCACTACACCACTTCCGCTCAGGCGAAGGAATACTGCCAAAAAAAGAAAGAATTGGCATCTGTGTCTATAAATCCCTTGTTGAATGATGTCATCTTTTATGAATGACCTTTCCGCATCGCATGAAGCAGTTGGCTGCGCTCCTGAATCTCTTATGGTTTTCAATCTTTAGAGTTCTTAATAATGGCTTATACAAACGTCCTTTAACATTGGCTGCGCCAAACTCTGTTGACATTTTGTGCAATATACTCAGAGCCTGAATGAGATCTGTTACAGGTGGCTGGAATCGAATTGCCCTTCGACTCGTGTAATGTCGCTCGTACTCGCTCGTTGAACCCACGGGGTGTTTTCGTCACCACAACTGTTGTGGTTTCATTCCATCCTCAGTTTGTGACCAAAGTTGACCGGTGAGTGGACTTACTCGTGGGTAAGAAACACATGTACTGGGGCGATTGCCAACTGACCTCGGCTGAGGTTGATCTTATACAAAATAGATCAACTTGGTTCCAATCTTCGTCAATTGATCGTTTTGCCTCCATGGGTTTTGGGTCAGGTGGGAATGCTTTTCAGTACGAGGATGGGTTCGATGTCGAAATGTGCTGCACTGATACTCGGCATACTGCTGTCGTGCTGCTCACTCACAGGCAAAGCTCACGTGGCATGTGCGGTCTAAGTTGTGAATAATTCAGAGCCTACCGAATCCAGTGCTTCTACATGGAGGCTGACAAGACCGTATCCACCCAAATCGAAGTCTCTGATCTTACCACAGCTTTCCAGACTCAGGTACTGTCAAAATATAGAACGTGTTATGCTCCGAGTCCATGCACTACTTCATACTTGATATATGCAGATTGTCCCCATGCCCGTCTGTAAGTACGAGATTCTCAACGGCGGTCCCACTGGAGAACCCGTGCAATTCGCCACAATTGGACAACAGGTGGGCACAGTCATTTTTGACTGATAATCCACGATTCCTGTAATAGCTTCTACGGTACCAGTTCAGGTTTACCACAAATGGACTTGCGACTCTGAAACTATTGACACCTTCTGCGCTGTCGTGCATACATGCACGGTTGATGACGGAAATGGCGATACTGTCCAGGTTTGCGGACTCTATGGATTTTTAAGGATCAGCATCTTCACGGAAATCGTGTAATTTGATTCCTTCAGATTCTCGACGAAAATGGTTGCGCTCTTGACAAATTCTTGTTGAACAATCTTGAATACCCAACTGATCTGATGGCTGGACAGGTTGGTAAATTAATCCCAAACTTTATATGTCTTTCAGGACGTCCTGACATCAGAAGCAACTTTTCAACTATCAGGACAAGTTCAGCAGTGCTTAGGATTCCTCCTACAAGTTTTTGACCTCGTAAAGCGCGATCGAAATCCACCGTACCTTAACCGGATCGCTCAACCTCGATCATCCTCTGCTGGGGCCACTTTCCAATCTTTGTTGATGTTCTAAACACTCTTAATTGATTTTAGGAAGCTCACGTTTATAAGTACGCCGATCGTAGTCAGCTATTCTACCAATGCCAAATCAGCATCTCCATCAAGGTAAGGAAGCTGTTCACAATTTGTACTTGTTCGTACCTCGAGTCGCACATTGATCTTCAGAGTTTCATCTCCACGCGTTCTACATTAGGGTTACGGGTAGCGATTCAAGTTGGTGTGTTAATTTGTTTGAAACTAGGGTAAGATGTGTTAAGAGGAATGTCAGTGGGAAAAAAAGCAGAAAGCGCCACAGCTAACACTGGAATTTCAAGTTCCCCTTGCGAGGTCAAAGGAGGTGAGCGCGGGGAGAGGGGGAGCATGTGGTAGACGTTATTACCTGATCAGCTCTTTATTGCGCACTTTCGCAGTAACACCAGCCGTGTGATGAGGGACGCTAGCATGAGGTGGTAAGGGACAGTGAGGGACCAATCGCGACCTGCCTTTGAATCAAGCAACCTTC